TCACAGGTGCTAGGGGTTAAGATTTCAACAGTATCTTCTGAGAGAACACAATTCAATCCACAGCATGATCTTTCAAGAAAGATGAGCCCTCTGGTGCTTGCTCCAAGTAGATGACTCTGCATTTGAGACATATATGTTAATATCCACCTGTTCCAGGGAAATTCTTTTGCTGGACTTTTAATTTACCAAAGTTTTAACTTCAGAATATGTATCATCCCCCATTAAAACATTTGTCACAGTGGCCCCATGGCCTGAACATTAATATAAATTAAAAGTGTGGACAGCAAGGGATTAGCAGTTAGTGACTTGCTCTTTCTGTTCACTGAAGCAGATCCTTATACACTGCTAATTGTCTCCAGGAACCAGGGCTCCTCTACCTTGAGACCAGAAGAACTAGATGGTGCCCGGCTCTCACTATCGTTCCGATCAGGGTCTCATTAGGTGGATCCTGATAGAAATGGGGGAATATGTGCAATAGAACTTCAAATTCTCAAAGAATCCATACTTACTGGATCCATCAAGACCAGAGGAATCCCCAAGACTACTGCCCTGAAATACTCTTTAAACCTTGAACAGAAACTATCCCCTGAAATCACCTTGTAACTTATTAAATAGCAGATTAGCTCAAAAAGCAATGAATTTCACTTTTGAGAATCATGCCCTTTTAAAAATTACCCATGAGACCAAATGGACAACACTTAAAGCACAGATGAGAAATTTGTGGGGGGCAGGGCAGGGAGACTAAATTAACACGAGTGGAACAACTAGAACGGAAATGAGAACGTTGATGTTGACATAAATTGAAGACTGTAAACCAATGTCACTGAACATTATGTGTAGAAATTGAGTAGGACCCTGTTTTGCTGTGTATACTTTCACCAAATATACAATATTAAAAAAAAAAAAAAAGATCCTTGAAGGTGACACACAAAGCAGAACCAAGTCCTGATTTTCAATTGCTTCCCCCAGGTTGAAAGAAAAACGAACACAGGTTACAAACCAGGCTTGAATACAGCCCCAACAATTCACTCAGCACTGCCTGCTCCCCAGCTGTCTCTTATAGAAGCATGGATAGAGCTGTTTCCTTAAACTTCCAGTACTCTTGGCAGCTCCATTCCAATCATCTCCTGGGGGCCAGCACATAATGAAATATAAATCTATCTTTGACATGTCTGACGGTCCCGTTCTCTTCCAGAGTCTGTGGGGACTAGGTAGACATGGTTAGTTTTCTGCTAGAAAATGAATGCTTTGTGGAAGATCTCACGGAAGGTCTTATGTAGAAGCTGTAGCCCAAAGAAGTTAAATAACTTGCCCCAGGGGTTACAGCTAAGTATGAAGTTTCCTGTGGTGGCCATGGACAAAGTACCACAACTTGGGTGGCTTAAAACAAAACAAAAATTTATTGTCACACAGTTCTGGGAGCTAGAAGTCTGAATTCAGGGTGTCAGCCACTGAAGGCTCTAGGGGAAGATGGATCCTAGTCTCTGCTTCTGGTGGCCCTAAGTGTACCCTGGCATGTGGCAGCATCACTCCAATCTATCTCCATCTTCACGTGGCATCTTGTCTCTCTGTATCTTTTATTTTTATAAGGACAATACTCATATCGGATTAGGACCCACCCCACTCCAGTATAATCTCACATTAACTTAATTACACCTACCAAGATGCTATTTCCAAATAAGGTTACATTCACAGGTACTGGGGATTAAGATTTCAATCTATTTCGGGGGTGACACAACTAACCCAAAACAAGCTGTTAAACAGTAGAATGGGACTCGAATCCTTGTCTTTTCTACTATGCGTCACCACTTGTGAACCAGGTACCGGGGATTCCCAACTTCTGGCAAATTAGAAAATCCCAACTTAACAAAAACTGGCTATTTGTTATGAGCAAGGCATGATCCAAATGGCTCTCCTGCTCCTAGGATCTGACCTTTATGAATGAGTGCTAGAGTTGGCAGGGAGACGGCCCAGAGCGTTGCACTGGACTCCACATTGAGGAAGGAGGATGGGGGTGGGGAGAAGCAGCAGATCCTGATGACATCAAGGGCTGAGCTGCCTGGACATGGCAGTCTCCAAAGAGGGTCGGGCAGGGCATTTGTAGTTGAGGGCCAAGACAGCAGTGGGATATCCCAGCAACACGGACTCTGGAGTGAGATGCTTCCCAGGCCCACAGTCACCTGGAGCTCCTCTCCCAGAGATTATACCTCCATGGAGGTGTGTTTTTGGATAGCCAAACTCTAGACACCAAGTCAGGCTATGGTCCCAGGAAGGACCAGCAGAAGCAAAGCAAAGCTGCTCTCTCCAATGGAAAGAAATTAAGAGGCAGGCAAAACTCTGTAGAGACTTTAGGACTAAAAAACACACAAGGTCCAAGATGCTACTGTCTTCCCATCCCATTCCTCAGCTTAACCTTTAGCTCTACTTTGGCAGACACCTAGGGCAAAAGGTGTAGTTACATTTATCTCCCACGGATTGATTTCCAGTGATGGTGTATAATTCACTCCCAATCAAGTCAAGGGGCATTTACATAATTTATAATTTTATCTAGAGATGTTCTCAAACATGACCCAGACTCAACAGTGTTTTCCAATCAAAGGTACAACCTATTGTTGTACAGTCATCTGTTTTATTTGAAAACATGTCTACACTGCATCAAGCATCAACACAGTCATGACCAAGAAACCCCCAGTCCTGTCCCAGCAGGCACTGGGTCCAGTGTATGACTTGGGGCAGACTATTAGTTTTTACAGTGAGGAGAAAAAAGGACAAGAAAGAAGAAATAGGCACTCTTCCTAACTCCTGTTCAGTAATGTGAATGATGAGAGTGAAGGCCATTTACACTCATCTAGCTCTTACAAATCCCTCTTCTCTCAATTAGCTGTTGCTCAAACATAGGAACCTGGGCTGGTGGGCCATCTGGATTTGGGTAACACAAGGGCACACTGTTTAAAATAATATCCGCACATCACTGCACAAAACAGGAGGAACGAGCTGTGCTTCCGACTGACAGTTTACTTCTTCCTGTTTTATGAACTCTTACAAGTTTAGAGGATATCAGAATTGCATAACCACAATCCTGACAGAGCATCTGCTCAGTATGACAACTTTGTTTAGGAAAACAAACTCAATGGATCTATGGGACAAGCTGTGTGAACTCAGATGATTCAGAGACAGAATAGTCCCCTGGACTCCTTTATTTTGATCTTTTTAATGCCGCCCCATAGAAATACGTGGTATGTCATTAAGACTGGGAATATCTTTTTTTTAAACACACATCTATAAATCCAGCTATTTAAAAATCAGTATTGTACAAGCTTATTTTCTCTTCCCATATCTTTCCTCTGAGGCAGAAAACAAAGTTAGAAAGCTGGCAGGTTCTATTTCCGGAACCAGTGGCATACATAAGGCTTCTTTGTTTTGGGTACTAACATGGTTCTTAAGCTTCTGGAATACTTGAGCCATTGGCACCACGGAGCAAACAGCAGCCTCCTTGGCACCACATTCCAGAACAACACAGTCAATCTGAATACCTTGAGTCATGGCAAAGAGAAGGCCACCCGTTACTTCTGGATTTCCATCATTGGAGGGAAGCAGAGGGGGCAGGGAGGAGCAAACGTTTGAATCAGCAAGTCATCACTGGAGAAAGCAGCCTAGAAGCTGCCCAGTGGCCTTGTGGTAAAAACAAAATGTCTTCCCCCAAGTAGGCTTCCTATTTCTGACCAACAATGGATGCATTTGAAATGATTCATCTGAACCAGCTAAAGGCAGTTGCTCATTATGTATTATCCAAGTTGGGATTTTCTAATGGATTATTCACACCAGATCAAGACTTCAGAAACTAGAAGACACAAACTAGAATGGAATGTGTACATTTCAACAGATTAGGAACTGCAAAATGCTGGTGCCCCTGACAAAGCACTCAACCTAAGTACGTCATTGGAATAAATATTTCCACATTCCTCTTCATTTTAACAATAACAGAGAATGTTCAGGACAAAGACATAATTACAGTTTCTAACATGGATTGAATTATATTGTCCATTTTAGTTACAAAATCCACTTATATAGTTTTGCTCCACTTTCTATGCATTTTGTCTTTTAAATCCTGTTACAATATTTATCTTAAAAGAGTTCCACAAGGCAGATGCTTAGAGGAGAAAGTCTTGCGCATTTCGTTTTGCTCCGGTTACTTGTTACTTTTGGCTGGTGGAGGGATCACCATGGATTTAGAGCGAGGTGGGTAGCGTTTCCACGGGTCATCTTCCCTTTCACGCTCAGGGACAGGGAAATAGGAAGTTCTTTTTTAAACTGTTGACAGAAGGGCACAATTCTTCAGCTCTTTAAGGCCTGAAAACAAAGGGACAGGTGACTGTCAGTTATTTTTCTGGCATTGTGAATAGTAAATCCCTGAGTCATTGTTCCTATTGTCCTTCTCTCCAAATTCTGGAACCTGGTGTTCTTCTCTCCCTCCTCCCTCCCATTTCTCCTCCATGGTTAGTCTTCACACAGCCACGGCCAGATTCCCAGGCATTTCCAAACACGAGACAGCTGCAGCTGTATCATCCTTCAATACTGTTCCCCAGTCTCCAGTTGCATTATCATTTGCTGTCTTCTTCAGCCCTCATTATCTATCAACTTCTCAGAAGAAATTTTTTTAAAAAAGCTTTTCTCCGTCTCTGAGCTTGAATGTTCTGAATTACTAAGGAATTTTAATAAAGAGAAGAATGCCTTCCCCTCATCAATAGTCAGTGCTAGGGTGTGTACATGCAGGCAGAAGTGGAAGAAAGATCTAAATGAAAGACTTCATTTTCAATGGAATTCCTCATCAGAATGGGACCCTGGATCTGCAAAAAGTGAATTCCCAGAAACCACCTACCTCTGATGGCTGGAGGCAGAGTGATGAGGTGGCAAGGTGAGGTTTGGGGTTTCAAGCTAACACAAGAGATCAAATTTGGTCTTGCACTACAGAAGTCAACTTAATGGCTATCTCTGGCTCCGAGTTTCTTCCTTAGAAACTTACATGCCCAAGGAGACCTCTGTTCTACTGGGAAAACTTCAGAGGTAGGGGACTTGTTAACATGACCTTCCTATGGAGGTTTCTACTAGTTTAAAGGTTTAAGCTACTTAACACATCAGTGTAAGTTATTTACTTACGAGTACCTTCCTGACATTTTTCGCACAACCACAAAGATGATCCCACCAATGAGACAAATGGATACTAAGACCCCAATTATGGTTCCAATCAAGGTCGCTGTTGCCAAACCATCTGAATGAGAGAGGGAGAAAAAAAAGGCATGAGCCCCAGATAAACAATACATCTGTGACAAAACATGCTGTATGCAAACAATGTCACTGTCCCCCTTATAGATAGCAAATAATGCTCTATGCTGTTTCTCCTATGTCCAGTGGAAATCAACTTCCAACAGGAGAAACTTCCAATTTCATCTTATGCATGGACAGATTTCTGGGTTTCAGGGTGTACCAAGCATAACACTCATACTGGCTTCACTGTTCATTGCTGGGTAGTTTTTCTGTACAGCTGTTAAATTAGCCCCTATTTTCATTTTTGGAGCCCTGGTGGCATAATGGTTAAGAGCTTGGCTAATAACCAGAAAGTCAGCAGTTCAAATCTACCAGCCACTCTGCTTCTTGGAAACCCTATGGGGCTGTCCTATGGGGTAGCTATGAGGCTGAATAGACTTAGTGGCAATGGGTTTGGTTTTTTTTTTTCTTTCATTCTTGTTAACGATAAATTGTGATATGCAACCATTCATCATAGCTGTCATTAAGTGAATCGAGTCATTTGTGGTTTGCTTGTTTTCAAATACAGGAAATTCCCTTTTCTCTTTAAAAAAAAAAAAAGTTATGAAATCTGATCTCTTTAGGTTCTCTGTTCTGCTCCAGGTCCTACAATCCAAGAGTGAATATAATTCATCTAAAAAAGTTAGGTTCAAATAAACTTTTTTTTTTTTTTTACTCCCATAGGAATATTTTGATGCCAAAATGTAGCCCACCTTTCTCAACTGTTGTGTGTGTTTCTCCATCCGTTTTCTCTGTGAAGAGAGAAGTAATGATATAAAATTGTTAGGATTTAATAACTATAATTTAACAATTGGCAAGAGATAAATTTACCCTAAGTGGAAGGTAGTAAAACAGAAGCAAATAAATTGGATCAGGGGATTTTTAAGCAAGACCTGACATGATACTGTTCTTCATAATAATTATTATTGAATTATAAACTTCTCTTCATCCTGTGGGTTCATAGTAATATTGTTTACATTACTTTTTTCTCATGTATGTTAGAAGGCAGGGTCAAGAAAACCGAACCACAGAGGTCTCAAAAAAAATGGTCAAAAGGTTCAGAGGCTAAGATAACAAAAGGATCTAGGACTGTTGGTTCTTAGTCCAATGTCAAGATCATGGAAAACTCACACACTGTCTGCCTGAATCTCCGTGTATGAAGGAGGTTTATTTTGAGAGTTAATATTCTAGTCTTGGAAGATGTGGTCAAGACTGTTGACTTGTCTATGCAATATCCATTCCCCATTTCTTCCTGATTTGGTTACTCAGGAATTCTCAAAAATTAAGTTCAAATAAACCTGCTTCCTCATTTGGTTAATGAAAAGTCCCTGGATGGTGCACACGGTTAACAAGTGTGGCTGCTAACCGAAGAAAGGTTGAAAGTTTGAGTCCACCCAGAGGTGCGCCAGGAGAAAGGCTTGATGATCTACTTCCCAAAAAATCCAGCCACTGAAAACCCTACAAGCAGCTATCTAAGATGCATCAATTGGTCCTAACCCACTTGGAGCAAAGTAGAATGAAGAACATCAAAGACACAAGGAAAATATTAGCCCAAGAGACAAAAGGGCCACATAAACTAGAGACTCCATCAGCCTGAGACCAGAAGAACTAGATGGTGCCCAGCTACCACCAATGACAGCCCTGACAGGGAACACAACGGAGAATCCCTGACAGAGCGGGAGAGAAGTGTGCAGCAGAACTCAAATTCACTTAAGGAAACCAGACTTAATGGTCTGAGACTGGAGGAACCCCCAAAGCCATGGCCCCCGAACACTGTTAACCGAGAACTATAACCATTTCCGAAGCACACTCTTCAAAGATTAGACTGGACTATAAAACATAATATGATACTTGTGAAGAGTGTGCGTCTTAGTTCAAGCAGATACATGAGACCAAATGGATGGCTCCTGTCTGGAGGCAGGAAAAGAAGGCAGGAAGGAACAGGAGCTAGTTGGATGGACACGGGAAACTCAGGGTATAAAGGAGAAGTGTGCTGTTGCATTGTAGGGATTGCAACTAGTGTGACATAACAGTATGTGTATAAATTTTTGTATGAGAAATTAACTTGAGCTGTAAACATCCCCCTAAAGCACAATATAAAAAAAGAAAGAAAGAAAACCCTACAGAGTTTTACTCTAACAAACATGGGATCTCCTTGAGTCGGGGTGGACTCAACGGCAGGCAACTGGTTTGTTTTCTTTTTCATTTGAGTTTAATAAGTATACACCCTTGTGTTTATGCCACTGTTGTTTTACAATTTCTATTATCTATAGTCAAAACTAGCTCAATAGTTCACATTGAAAAATTCAAAAATGTAAATATTCTCCATTGTGAATTTCTTTTGGATAACTTTACATAAATAAAGGTTTTTATTGTTTTGTCTTTTGTTTCTCCCAATAGCCTCTTGTATATTAACTCTTAGTTCCTCTGGATGGTGGTTATTCACCTGGCTTGCAGATGGAGAAAAAGTCAAGACGTCTCAATTTAATGAGACAATGGAAAGAAGTAAATCAATCAGGCCCTTCCCTAAAACTTGGTTTTAAAAAATAACAATTAACGTTGAGTCGATTCCAACTCCAAGTGACCCTATAGGAAAGAGTACAACTGCCCCATAGGGTTTCCTAAGCTATAAATCTAGGAGGAAGCAAGATTGCCATATCTTTCTCCTATAGAGCAGCTGGTGGGTTTGAACCGCTAACCTTTCAGTTGGCTGCCAAGCACTTAACCACTGCATCACCAAAGCTCCTCAGAAATTGGTTTACAACTTGCAAAATGTCACAGATAACAGTAGCTTTCCTTTTCAAAGATGATACTAGCCAACCATCAACTAAAAAATGCTCACTTTTTCTAATGGTTGAGTATGAACCAAGACTCTCTTTAAAATAACATGCCTTTTCAAGATGGCCCAAGGTAGGGGTCCCAGAACCCACCTATTCCTGCATGAGTGGAACCCACAGCTCTAGAACATTTACACGGAGTTCTAGCTGCTTGTGCTATCCCGTCACAAAGTGGAGGGGGAACTGCTGGATTTGAGGCCTGCCTAGAACAAAGATGTCATTGAATCAACTTCCAACATGCTATCTCCTCCTGCAGACTATCAGCAGAGATAGGATAACCATTTGATAACATGGTTGACGCCAATTCCAGGGTCTTAACTTAATTAAGCACTCAACTGCAAACTGAAAGGGTGGTGGTTCAAACCCATCAGCTGCTCCATGGGAAAAAAGACGTGACAGTCTGCTTCCCTAAAGATTACAGCCTTGGAAACCCTATGGGCAGGGTCGCATGAGTCGGAATTGACTCGGTGGCATTGGGTTTGGGTTTGGTTAACACACTGTCTATCACCATCAATGACACTATTGGTTAGAAAATGTATTACCAAGAATAAAGTCCATTTATGGAAGATTTGTTTCTGAATTAGAGCTTATTAGTCCTCTCCTCCCTAGCTCCCACCAATTATACCGTGATCATGAAAATGTGTCATTCATGTGGACGTCATCTTACTTGGCAGTTTCATGGGAAAGCTTGACATTTGCTAGCCTAATAAAATTACCTCTTAAAAAACTAAGTACTTATAATTACGTTTTAACTCACAAGTAAAAATTTCTTGAGATGTGAAGGGTAATGAAAAAATTTGGAAATAGTGGTGATGGTTACACAACATGGTGGAATGTAACTAATAAAGTATTTATGTATATTTTTACCACAATTAAAAAAAAAAAAAACCTTCGAATACTGTTATTTGAAATGGAAATGTGTGAACGTTAAGATTACATTTCGTTTTTTTTTTAATTCTTTTTTTTTTATTGTACTTTAAATGAAGGTTTACAGAACAAATAGTTTCTCATTAAACAGTTAATATACACATTGTTTTATGACAATGGTTAACAAACCCATGACATGTCAACACTGTCCCTTCTCAACCTTGGTTGGGTTCCCTATTACCAGCTTTCCTGTCTCCTCCTGCCTTCTAGTCCTTGTCCCTGGACTGTTGTGCCCCATTAGTCTCGTTTTCATTTATGGGCTGTCTAATCTTTGGCTGAATGGTGAACCTCCGGAGTGACTTCATTACTGAGCTAAAAGGGTGTCCAGGGGCCATACTCTCAGGGTTTCTCCAGTCTCTGTCAGGCCAATAAGTCTGGTCTTTTTTTGTGATTTAGAATTTTGTTCTACATTTTTCTCCAGCTCTGTATGGGACCCTCTGTTGTGATCCCTGTCAGAGCAGTCAGTGGTGGTAGTGGGCACCATCCAGTCACACTGGACTCAGTCTGGTGGAGGCCGTGGTAGTTGTGGTCCATTAGCCCTTTGGACTAATCTTTTCCTTGTATCTTGTTTTCTTCATTCTCCCTTGCTCTCGAAGGGGTGAGACCAGTAGAGTATCTTAGATGGCTGCTCATAGGCCAAGATCACATTTTGTGACACAGCAGGGCAGGGAATTAATCATGGAGTATTTCCCCCAGGCAACTGAGAATCTTTTTAAGCAAAAGGAAGAGAGGCATCCTGGTATGGTAAAAAGAGCCTTCACCTTGGCGCGTTCCATTTTCTGCTGTTAATGAGCAGTTAACCCATGTTAAGAATGAGCAATCCTCCTCCAAATGTTTAAAGTGCTTTTCAATGATCACATATTGATTATTCTTTTCTTACTTGTGTCTTTTCACTCTCTCTGGTTTTTAAATGTTCATTCTTTCTTTAGCTTCTTGGCATGATCTTTGGGCTTTATTTTCAAAGGATTTTACAAAGTACTTTTTGAATCCTCAGAAGTGCTATAGAGTTTTTTAAGAACAGATTCGAGTTTGGGCCTGGAAATGCATATTGAACAATAAAGAATAACTTTCTAGGTGGGTCATATATGCAACCAGAATTGGGAACCATTGCTTCAGACAAGGTCTTTATGTTTACCTCTATTTTAGAGATGGAAACACAAGACCTAGATAAAATTATTTATATACGATTGTTCAAGTTGACAAGCACTTGCTGCAGTTATTGGAGGGTTAGCTCCATTTCTGTCACACCCCCATCTACCACAAAATAAGGCAAAATTTTTTTTCATCCCAAACACTTGAATTTCTCTTAATCAAGAAAGCTCCTAGAACCAGGAAGCTATGTCTTTCCATCGCTAAGTTGTAATGACAATGGTCCTTCCTCTTTCTCATCAGTGAGGGTCTAAATCTCATAATAACGGCAAAGACCCAAAGTCCTCCTCCCAAGTTTCCCTAACAAGGTGATCCCATCCACACTGTGAATCATGAAAGTATCCAAAATCCTGGTTTAGTATAGATTCTTATTCCGTGTGTACAGACTGGACCTCAATGTACGATGGTAAATATTAGTATAGAATCTCTTATGATCTACATAGGTTAGCTGAGTTTTATGCTCTTGGGTGTCAACAATAAATTCTTTGCATAGTATTTTATTAGCTTAGGATCAGCTAATGCAGCAGCATGACATCAGTAGCTACTTAAACTGGCCTTGTGGGAGCATCATCCTTAGTTGTCATCAAAGTAGAGAGATCTGTTCAGCTTTTAGCGACCCAATAAATCAAATTGTGAACCTACCAAATAAAGCTTGGTTCAGAATTCACTCTTGCATTCCAGTATGTCCCCTACTATGATATTTGTTCATGGATTTTTAGAATGCATTAATTAAACAAAAGAAGGTCAACCCCTATTGGAGTGACCAGCTTTCTTACCCACGGAGTGACCAGTCACCACATCTGGGGCTGTGGTGCTCTGGCTTTTTTCTCGGTCGTAGCCTGTGCTTTCGTGGGTCGGCAGGTCCTCGATGTGCCTGTGTGTTGTACTCTCTGTACTTGCTGGCACCTATTCCAGAGGTACATGAGACAAAATAGGAAATAAAACCTACAGTTTAAAATATATATATATCCTACCTTAGAACAGGATTCATCATGGCATAAACATAGAAAATACATGCCAGCATACATTTAAAGTGGAATAAGGGGAGAAAAAAAAAAAGAGACCAAGTTGGGACAGGAATAAGTCTACTCCAGAAATGAATGCCAAGGGTTTAGTCTGCTGACTTCCTGGGGTCTTAACTCTTTTGAAAGCACTGGATCACTAGGCTTTAATTCTTTCTGTCCCTTGAGATTGAATGGCAATTTTTCCCTATAACATTTATTTGGCACGTATCGTGTCACAGCACCTAACAGCAACAACATCTTCTCATCCTTTAATGCCCTCCTTCCCCAATTAGAGTAATCTCACTGTCGAGATTACAACTCATAGCAACCCTACAGGACAAAGTAGAGCTGCCCCATAGGGTTTCCAAGGCTACAAGGATACAGACTGCCACATCCTTCTCCCACGGAGCACTGGTGGGTCCGAACTACAGACCTTTCGGTTAGTGGCTGAGCACTTTAACCACTGTGCCACCAGAGCTCCATAATTACAGTAATTTAAAAAAAAAAATTAGAGTAATAGCTAGCCTTTATTAAGAGCTTACTGTGTATCCAGGCCCGTTAAATACATTCTCATTTACTCCAAGCACAATCCTATCAAGGAGATCCTATTATTAGTCCTATTGTATGAACAATGCCTAGAGAGATTAGATAATATGCCCAAACTCACATAGCCGATAAGTGACGAAGCTAGGACTTGGAAGTGATTATGTTGACTGTAAAGTTCATGCCAATCAAGTATTCAACAAATATGCACCTACTATGAGTGAGGATCTACTATGTGCCCAGTATGGTTCCAGGTCCTGGGGATAAAACGGTAAGAAATTCCCTGACCTCTTGCAACTTACATTCTGGGGTGGGGTGGTGGGTGTGAACATTTAACATGTAAGCAAAATAAAAAGGTAATATTTGATGAATTTACATGCTTCAAAGAAAATACAAGCTAGGATAAAGGACTAAACCAGGGGTTGGCAAACTTTCTGTAAAGGGCCACATGGTAAATATTTCAGCTTTGTGGCCATCCTCTTTCTGTCACAACTACTCAACTCTACTCTTAAAGTAGGTGTGGCTGTGTTGGAATAAAACTTTATTTACAAAAGTAGGAGGTAGGCCAAATCCAGCTAGTATTTTGCTGACTCCTGAGCTAGAAAATAACTGAGGAGTTGAGGGGTAGGTGGATTACTTTAGGTCTCTTTAAGATAATATTTGAATTTCAGAATCATGAGAAAAAGCCAGCCATGGTAAGATGTGGGGAGTGTTCTAGGCAGAGAAGACAAAAGCCCTAAGCTGGAACAAACCGTGTGTTTGAAGGTCAGAAAGAAGACCAACGTGGCTAAACTAGGGTTAAGTGCAGGGAGAGTGGTCCAGTTGGGTCAGACAGGCCGCAGGAACCACTGCTCTATACCAACTGTCAGCTCCTCAAAGGTCAGAAGTGTGACATATAGCAACTTATATCCTTCCAAGTGCCTGATACATGGTTTGCCTAAGGCAAGTGCTTAAGACACATAAGAGTTAGGGTTGCACACAGTCTATATACCAGTGTGGTCTGTGAGCCGGTCCCACCGAAAAAAAAAAACAAACTGGTTACCATCAAGTTGATTCCTACTCATAGCAACCCTATAGGACAGAGTAAAACTGCCCCACAAGGTTTCCAGTGAGTGGCTGGTAGACGCAAACTGTCAATGTTTTGGTTAGCAGCCGAACTCTTGAGCTGGTCCCAGTCCATAACCAGATAAGAAATTGGGAATACATACTATTTAGAAACTTTTATAGCAATGCCAAGCCAATTGCCATCAAGTCAATGCCAACACTTGGTGACCCGTGAGTAGCTTTCGGAAGTATCGCTAGGCCTTTTTTCTGAGATGCCTCTGGGCGGATTTGAACTTTTGGTTGGTAGCCAAGACTTAACCTTTCACGTTGCCCAGGGATTTGAGCAACAGTTAAGCGCTCGGCTGCTAACTGAAAGGTCAGGAGTTCAAACCCACCCAGTAGCTTCACAGGACAAAAGACCTGCTGATCTGCTCCCGTAAAGATTACAGCCTAGGCATCTGGGGTCTTAAAAGCTAGCAAGCAGCCATCTAAGACGCATCAATTGGTCCCAACCCCCTCGAGTAAAGGATAAAGAAGAACACCAAAGACACAAGGAAAGTATTAGCCCAAGAGACAGAAAGGACCACATAGACCAGAGACTTCATCATCCTGAGACCAGAAGAACTGGATGGTGCCCGGCTACCACCAATGACCGCCCTGACAGGGACCACAACACAGAGTCCCTGATGGAGCAGGAGAAAGGTGGGGTGCAGAACTCAAATTCTAGTAAGAAGACCAGACTTAATGGTCTGACTGAGACTGGAGGAACCCCGGAAAGCATAGCCCGCAGATTCTCTATCAGCGCAGAACTAAAACAATTTCCGAGGCCAACTCTTCAGACAGGGATTGGACTGGACTGTGGGACATAAAATGACACTCGTGAAGAGTGTGCTTCTTAGCTCAAGTAGATACATGAGACTAAATGGGTAGCTCCTGTCCAGAGACAAGATGAGAAGGCAGAGAGGGTCAGGAGCTGGTTGAATGGACATGAGAAATCAGGGGTGGAAAGGAGAAGAGTGCTGTCACAGTATAGGGAGAGCAATTAGGGTCATATAACAATGTATGTATAAATTTTTGTATGAGAGACTAACTTGAATTGTAAACTTTCACTTTAAAGTACAATAATAAAAGGAAGAAAAAAAAGACTGCAGCCTAGGAAATCCTATTAGGCAGTTCTTCTCTGTCATATAGGGTCACTATGAGTCGGAATCAACTTGATGGCACCTAATAACAACAACATAGCAATGTCATTGCTGCAACGTTCAAAATGTTTATTATATTGAAAATCGGATTAAAAATGTAAAAAGCTAGTCCTTCACCAGGTTATATTCTCAAATCACTGTGATCAGCATACCAGCTAACTGCTAGCTAGAAGAAATTGGGAAGTGGCTTGTTTGGAGCCCTACAACAGTTGCTTTGCATGCAGTGGCCCATGCTGATTATAGATATACCATCCCCTTGCATGTGAACACATGCCTACAGGGCAAATTTCTCTCTTCCCAGGACACTCACCAGAGTTGCCAAGTCAGTGGACTCATGGGGCTTTTCACTGGGACCCAAGGTCACTATGTTATCTTCCACACCAGGGGTCACTATGCCATCTTCCATACCTGGGGTTATTATGTCATCTTCCGGTCGGGCTGTGCTGGCTGAAGAAGAAAGATGGAGTCAGGACTTAAGGTGGAAATTTTGTAGCCAGCTTCAATCAGGTTATTTTCTTTCCCATTTCTTTTGGGGTTTTTTGGTCATTTTTCTTGTTTACCAGTAACAGTAACAAAACCATTCTTACCATACCTCTGGCACACACAATGGGCAGGTCGTCTTCACCGCAAAGCAACCAAAAAAAAAAAAAAAAACCCAAACTTGTTACCATTGAGTCAATTCCACCTCATAGTGACCCTATAGGACAGAGTAGAACTGCCCCATAAGGTTTCCAGGGCTGTAAATGTTAATGGAAGCAGACTGCCACGTTACTCCCATAGAGTGGCAGGTGGGTTCAAACCGATCACCTCTTGGTTGGCAGCTGAGCACTTTAACCACTGTGCCACCAGGGTTCCTGTTGCAGAGCAGAGGAGGCTAGAAATACAACAAGGTAAAACAGCCAGCTCTCCCCAGTACCCCACTGAGGTAGGCTGGACAGGAGGATACACATCTTTCCTTTTTAATAATTAGCTGAATTCTTCCCTTGTGCCATTCCATATGATGAATAGAATTAATGCATTCATGTCAACAGAATATCATTTAGACCTGAAAACATTTCTAAAATGGAATCACTTGGAAAGCTTTCTAAAAATAACAGTTTCCAGGCTCCATCTCAAACCTACTGAGTAGGAATGTCCCAAGGCAGGGCTCTCCATCTTTTTAAAACCAAGTTCACTCTCCATTTCATTTTGAAGAAGCTGTCCACCTGGATGATTAAAACCATTGGTTCTGATCACACCTTATAGATCACAGAATTTGATTTCTATTTTACAGTTGGAGCTATTGTCTACAGGGGAGGATCACTAATATACTTAAAGGTACTGGGATACTAATAGAGCTCTTAATGCACCAAGAGCTATACTAGGAAAGACCACACTGCTCCTGGCCCTTCTTCATTATCATTTGGATGAATGAAACATGAGAAATGTTTCCAATGGAGCAGGGGACTGGTGGGGTGAGATGGCAGGTTAAACTCCACGATGGAGAAGAGAATAGGTTATCTCGACAGTGGCTTCTTGCTCAATTTCTTTTCAGATGTAATCCAAACTAGTCATGACTATGCCCAAGAATCATCCCGTATCTCATCGAGCCACCCTTTTCACGAGTTAAAAATCTGACTCATTGGCCATGAGCTGTCTCCTCTGACACACAGTAGTTCTGGAAATTCCATGACTAAAGACAGGTGCAAAATAAGTGAGTGTAAGCATTCCAAGAACAAGAAGGAGGGGGTGTTTGGGCCTTCTTAGTAATTACAGAGCAGATGTTTGTTTCTAGGAAGTGCTCAAGTTAGCAATCCAGTCTTGCCTTAAGACATTTCTCTTTTCCTATGCTTAAACAGCCCAGCCAAAGGCACAGCTAATAAATATTTGATCATAACCTCCTTGCTGATAGAGGGCGGAAGCCTCTAGAAAACTACTCACTTGTTCTATGAGCCTTCTCTTTGCATCTGAAATCCCAATGTAGTGCCATGGATTGATGGCTCTGGATGGGCTACCCAAGCATATGCATCTAGTTTTCATCTAAGGGGAAAACACTTTCACTGTTAGCAATAGCTGAATACCTAGTACATGCAAATGTTTTGCCCTCTCTTATGCCGTTTGCTGTGGTAGCGACTGGCTTCCACAAGGATTTATGGCTGTGATGTAGGCAAATGTTTTTATTTATAGAGCTCAAGGGAAAATGCCCTTTGGCGGCAGGCAGTCCTTATTAAAAAGCTAAGCATCTCACTTTCTTTTTAACTCCCCTAGTTTGAATTCAATCAACAAACCATCAATTAAAAGAATGTTTTCTAGAGCTGTTCAGCAAAACACATTTACTATATGGCATCCTCTAACTTAAAAACCAAACCAGAAAAAAACCTTGCTTTTAAAAAATTCAGATGAAGTCAGTTTGAATTGCTTCATAGAAAGTTCAGTTCATTGAAAGCGTAACTTGGTGAAAATTTCTTCTTGTTCTCTCCTACCTTTGGCCCACAGAGCCAAGTACTCAAATCACTCTGAATAGACAAAGGCGGTTTTATGAATGACAGTCAGGATTAAGAGGCTTGCCTTTTGTCTCACTACCCTGGCATTCTTTTCGCTCCCTGGGAAAGTTGATCTTGAACAAGAGAGCCTCAATTGTCCCTCTGATTATTTTGGTCGAAGGCTTCTCTGGGTGAAGAGTTCCTACTAGGCCAGCTGCCACATTTCCCGCCAGCATTTGACGTCCTTTTCCCCTTAATTGTGAAATTCAACTCATGTATCAGTGCCATCACTCCAAACCTTTTTTTCCTTCTGAGCCATGCATGTGCACGGGCACGCACACACACACACACACACAAGGATGCACGTATGCACAAACACAACTGTTAAGAACTGCAGAGCGATAAACCTACAATGTTGTTATTAGCTGCCGTCAAGTTGACCTGACTCATGGTGACCCCAGGCACAACTGAGCACAACACTTGCAGCTCTGTCCTCTGCCATCTTCACGATCAGTTGCGGATGGGACTGTTGTGATCCATAGGGTTTTCATTGACTGATTGTCCAAAGTAGATTGCCAGGCCTTTCTTCCTAGTTCCTCTTAGTCTAGAAGCTCAGCTGAAACTTGGTCAGCATCATAGCAACACAAGCCTCACCAACAGACCGGTGGTATCTGTGCACAATGTGCAACTGGCCAGAAATCAAACCCGTGCCTTCTGCATGGAAGGTGAGAATTCTACCACTAACCCACCAATGTTCCCAGTGGACCTACAATAACAGACCAATATTCGCAGCCTGGCACTTAGGGTCAGTTTTAGAGTGGTTACCAGTACGCTCACGTGAATACTTTTTCCTGTCACACCCAGCCTCGCTTGGCATGTGGGCCAGAACCAATGGAAGTTTCCAAATACAGTAACATTCTATCCAATCCCTTTGGAATTTTTTTTTTTTAATTACCCTAAAAGAACTATGAAAAGATGATTTGATCAAATCAATTATACTTCAAGGTTTTATTAAGAAATGTTTGAGAATAAGAACTTAAGCAATGCTTATTTGTATAAAAGTGCTAATTCTGAATGATTTTTATCTTCTCACTAACGTCTAGTAACTCTAAAGATATGATTATTCTAGTTTGCACTCATTTATGGGATGATATTTCATTTAAAATATTTTAGAATTTAGATGGAACATTGATTCAGAAGGTTATTGTAATAGAAAGCCTGTTATCCCAAATCCTTAACAAAGATCATATAATAAATGTTATCCATCTTTTGGCTTTATTTCCATTTCTTGTGATTTGTGGTGCTGAATTGTTCTATCTGTTGTTCCATCTGTTTACTGGCTGTTAGGAATACCTTTTTAAGTTCTTTGTCTATTTTTCTCTTGTAGTGTTCACCTTTTTAGCGTTTTATAAGTGTCCTTTATATGTTAAGAATATATTCTTTGCATAGATGCTGCAAACATTTTTTTTTTTAACCAGTTGGCATTTGCTTCTCTCTTTTGTACATAGCAGAGTTTGTCAGTAATCAAATTTATTAAGCTTGTTCTCTCTCCCTACTAATCCTTCCCTACCTCAAGATTTCATAAATATTCACCTATATTTTCCTTATGGTTCTAGTTTTTTACACTTAATATTTCCATTCTGTGTTTATTTTTAAATATTATATGAAATAGGAATAGACTTCTATCCTTCCGCCCAAATGATTAGTCAGTTGTCCCAGTAAACTCTTTTCCCCATGGCTTCCAAACTAGCTCTCATTGAGGTAAATTTCTCCTTTCAAATACTGTATCATGAGCACAGGAGAAACCTCTAAGCACAAGGACCAGCTTAAACAGTCCCAACACTGCTGACTGCCTCCCCTTCCCAACAGCCTTCAGTCTGGGGACTTTCTCCAGAACTATTCCTAAATTTATGATCTCCTCACCATAAGCTCCCTCTTTTTCCTCACATAAACTGATCACTGCTGAGGTAACTCAGTGCCAGGGATGTAGCTAGAATAAAAATGTAGGGAAGGACAAATATCCTGTAAGACTACTATTGTAAGAACTCAAGAAAAGGTTTAAACACAGAAGAAAACCATTCCTTGATGGTTACAAGGGCGGGGAGGGAGGGTGAGGGTTATTTACTAACTAGATAGTGGATAAGAATTATCTTAGATAAAGGGAAGGACAGCACACACTACAGGGGAAGTCAGCACAACTGGACTAAACCAAAGCTAAGAAGTTTCCTGTATACAATCAAACACTGAGGGACAGAGTAGCAGGGTTAGGGCTCTGGGGACCATGCTTTCAGGGGATATCTAGGTCAATTAGCATAACAAAGCTTAAGAAAATGTTCTGCATCCTACTTTGGTGAGTGGCCTCTGGGGTCTTAAAAGCTTGCAAGCGGCCATCTAAGATGCATCAATTGGTTCTAACCACCTGGAGTAAAGGAGAATGAAGAACACCACACGAGGGAAGTATTAGCCCACGAGACAGCAAGGGTCACAAAAACTAGAGACTTCATCAGCCTGAGACCGGAAGAAGTAGATGGTGCCCGGCCACCACCAATGACCGCCCTGACAGGGAACACAACAGAGAGTCCCAGATGGAGCAGGAGAAAGGTGGGGTGCAGAACTCAAATTCTAGTAGGAAGACCAGACTTAATGGTCTGAGTGAGACTGGAGGTATCCCAGGAAGCATGGCCCCTGGATTCTCTATCAACCCAGAACTAAAACAATTTCTGAAGCTAACTCTTCAGACAGGGATTAGACTGGACTGTGAGACATAAAGTGATATTCGTGAGGAGTGTGCCTCTTAGCTCAAGTAGATACAAGAGACTAAACGGGCAGCTTCTGTCCAGAGGTGAGATGGGAAGGCAGAGAGGGTTAGGAGCTGGTTGAATGGACATGGGGAATCGGGGGTGGAAAGGAGGAATGTGCTGTCACAGTATGGGGAGAGCAATTAGGATCACATAACACTGTATGTATAAATTTTTGTATGGGAGA